TACAGAGCAAGATTTTATGCCATAGAGGCAGACATCCTTCACAGGGCAAGCCACAATATGTCTTCTCCAATTCACTGCACATTATAATATTCCTCCTTCCACCTTATTGAAGAACAATTGCGTCCCACAACAGCTTGTCTTCCCAAGTTAAACTCACTGCTCCAATGACTGCAATGAACCTGCTGATATCTCATGGCTGTGGTATTTGTTTGTTGTCACAGGGGTTTTTGGGGTCAGAAATAACTCTGAAGTCAAAAAATAGGACGTTACAGATTTTCCTAAGTGCAATTTTTTTTAGCATTTGGAGTGGGGAGAGAAAAAGATTGATTTTCCTGTTTTTCTGTAATGCTGAAAGAGTTTGACAGATTTTCCTATTAAAGATAAAAATATGAAGACTAGTATCCCGCTAAGGTTGAGTCCAGGGAAGGAAAAATTGGGTCTTAAAGAAAAAACCCATAATTTTATGCAAAATAAATGGAAGACAATGACATATTAACTGTAAAGCAGTTTACATTACTGAAAAAGCTTATCACTTTATTTTCTTACTTAAATTAACATTACGTTTTACTCGTAAACTATCTTATCTTTGCAAGCTACGACAAAAATCATAAAGCAATAGTATTTTTGAGCCCACCATGACATCTTTTCTCTAAGGAACATCTCATGCCGCTGTTGTTTCTTGGCTGTTACTCGCAAACAAAGTCTTTTATCAGAGAAAAATCACAACAGAAGCAATAGAAGAACAAATTCCATCATCCTGCCTGTAACAAGGCCCCATCAGGAGATGTTGCCTGAAGGAGTGAGGGGGTAGGAAGAAAAGTAATTTTATAGGTAATAAGTATTCAGGAACGAACTAGCTCTAGTCAGGCACAAATGATTTCTTATTTTGTGAATTTAGATCCACAAAGAGAAAGACATTTCCATCATGCACTAATTGCAACAGCAGTTGGGCTCCTAAATACATGTTAGAAGTGATGGAAATATTTCTTTTACATGGGATGGGAGATGCTGTTCCTGCATCCCCTGTTGAGTTGTCATCAGTTGATTTTCATCAGACTTAATTTTTGCCCAAATATTATTAGACAACTACAGCAACATGAGAGACCATAATAACCTTCTTTTCAATAACCTGTCTTCACAAACGTTTTCTGAGAAGGAGTGTACCGATAATCATATAACCTTTCAGAATTAAAAGCAGGCAGTATCTTTTCTTTTCTTCTGCCAATAGCTGTCTTGTCCTTTGAAAGTCAGTTTTGCAAAGGGAAAAAAAAAAGAAATATAGTGCACAACAAGTAAGTGTTGTTTAGCCAATACCTCATACATTTCAGGTTACCTATACGTTCAGAGTATTTCACAAGTGTACCTCCAGACAAAACTGCACACATAAACACAGCTTTGACTACTGATTATATCAAGTGGGTGGAAAAAAAGAGGATTCAGTTGTCCAAGAAACGAGTAATATAGTTTTATTGTGCAAACCTGATACTTATTAAATATTTATTGTGGCACATGACATCTTTAGGAAGCCAAGGCTGGAGCTCGGGACTACAAACACCTATTCCTGTGCCTTCCTGACACCCTCACCATGCCTTCTGTACAGGTGTACCGAGCTTCACGGACAGTCAACAAGTCATAGGGAAAAAAAATAATATTAAAGAAAAAAACCCCTAGGGCAGTTTTCCTTATACAGATTTGTGTACTTCCAAGTACAAAGACAACTCTAGACACCACAGAAACCTACGGCAAGTCAAATGCTCTGAGGGATGCTGTATTTGCTCTCAAACTCACAATGCCATCCTGCCAGTGCAGAGTGCCAGGCAGGAGCTTGGAGCATGCTTGTCTCCTCTCCTGGCCTCAGCACCATGCAGAATGGCCTTCCCAGTGAAAAACTAATGTCTCTAAAATAAATTTCACAAAGTGGTCATTTGGTTTAAACTGCATTGACTGAGGTAATTGGAATCCATGCTTTTAAATTGTAATAGAAAACGGGATTGAATGCACAGTGTCAGTGGAACAGAAGTAGAGTAATTAATGGTAAACCAGACTTGAAATGATTTCTCTGTATAGTCCAGACAATCAAACATGTCAGGATGTGTAAAATGCCATTCATAACAAATCACTATATATATTTTTTTTTTGCTTGTCTGTCATGGTAACTGTGTCGAGAACCAGCTTTTACCATGCACATGTACATTCCTACTTCCACCAATTCTCTGCCATTACTCAAGTGCTGCAATCCATGCCCAGCATAAGCTCAGTCATACCCTGCGGCTGCTGAACAGACACAGGACCCCTGTATCCTCCTGTCATTCCCTAACAATATTTCTCTTGATTTTGATGGAGCAAGAACGGGTTTCCAGCCTCTTCCATGCTGTAGCTTCCTCGAAGACTGCCTCATTCACTCACTCTGAGGTCAGTCTTTAGAACTGCACCCTGAATGATGCTTTCTCTTCTTTTCACCGACAAGTTTGCAAAATGCCACAAACCCTGCAGATTTCCTTTGGAATTCTGTCTGAGGCATGACTTGACGATAAGCCCAGAACTGGAGTTTTCTGCATACTGGAGAGTTTTTATTGTGAATAACTGAGATATTCCTTAAGTATGTTGGTTAACGATGATTCAACACTGGATATTATGTCAGACTGCAGTCTTTCTTCAGAAGAATAACTGCTGGGTCATGAGTAAAACAGGAACCAACTGTGCCGTTAATATGTAGTGAATAATAAATTTCTCCATGAGACTTCAAAAATTTAATGCAAAGTTCAGTTAAATTTCTATTCAAGTATTTCATGACCTCAATCTTACTATCTCCTCCACATTAAAATAGAGGAAGCAGTATTTTACATTCTTTGCATTAAATTTTATTTTAATGCTACCCATGCATGGTTAAAAAGATTCTGCCTCTCTACCTAATGGAACTGCATTCTATTTTATTTATTTTATTTGAACATTTTCAGAAGTCTCTAATCATTCTGAATTTGCTTGTTTTGGGACACATTATTTTAGACACTTCAAAGTGGACTGACATTCAGAAGGCATGAGTTTAACACAAAGTCAGGTCCAGTCTCCAGCTGAGTATCTAGGAACCAGAGCACTTTGTGATTTATTTCTGGTGGTAGAGCCCATTAGTTACATATCAAACAATTAGGAAGCATAGCTCTGAGGAGCCCCAGATCTACGATCATCATATATAAATTTGTATTAGTATAAGTTATAAAGCATTTTAAGAACCCTCTTCATGAAAAATACAGTGCAAATGTACCTTTTTACTATTAATAGAAGTTCCAAGTAACATTTCTCAGCCTCTTACAGTAAGGCTGTAAGAGGAATAGATGTGATAATGGGTCTCTTGCTATTTGAACTTCTATAAGGAGAAAACATGTAGGCTGCAAACACCATGGATATCGACATGACTCGAAGCACTGATTAAAAACTCTGGGATGAAAAGAAACACCAAGGGAGGAACCTCTCCATAGCCTCTCTCTAGCAACTGCAATGTGTCCAGTCATCTGTCAACAACCATTTAAAACTCCAGTGCTGTGAAAAAGACACAAGTGCAAACATACGCAAACATGCATTTTCACTTCTGTGTGTATTTTGTTCAAGAGAAGAGAATCTGGCTTCAATTCATTTCCTACACCTTTTAAAAAGGGAAAAAACACAAGACTTTTATCCTTGTTAGTTTATCTATGTCACCAAAAGTTCTGCCTTAGCAACCCTCTGATCCAGGTCCCCACATAACGTTAATTCCTGGATCCTTCACTGCTGATGTGCCTCGATGACATCCATTGCATAGCCCACCACCTCCCCGCGTGCTGCAGGCTGGTAATGGTGCTGTTACAGACCGGGATGGTGAGGCAGGTTGGTTAACATCCAGCTTGTCAACTTGATCACAGTGCACGCTGCCCTGCACCTGATGTGGCCATGGCACCAGGAGCAGTGGCAGAATCTGTCCTGTCTCTGAGTTACAGCAGTGTAAATGCAGGACGAGGATCTATTTGCTGCTGGATCCAACAGACATCCTCAGATCTGAATCTGCAGATGTTAAGAATCATCCTGCAGAAGTGATTTAATAGCAAGCACTAGAAGTGCAGATTTATTCCCAAGGGTGAAGCAATTGGTCCAGAAGTTATTTACTCCCAACAAACTGAAAGCACTATTGTTAAATACCTATTTTCACCAAGCAGAAAACAT